AAGGAATATTTTATATATAGCAGGAGACTGTTAGGTTTTTTTTTTAAGGAACAGTGGCTCAGCCCCTTCTGGTGCTGAGATCTAAGGCTCTAGAATTAAAGTATCAGGAGGGCTGATGAGTTATATGACCCCATGGTGCCCAGGTTTCCAGGAATATTCCTGGCCCAGGGGCACTGCTCTAGCAAAGTTTCGGGGCAGGTTTCTCCCCCAGTCAGCCTAGCTCCCCCAGGGCATGGGCTTAAAAGGAATCTAGAGTTGCCTACCACCACCAGCAATCCAGCAGAGAAAGTGGTTTCCTGCCTGCTAGTTCTGCACTGCTGCCGGCATGTCCTTGTGGGCAGGGTGTGTGTGTTTCCATGTGCTGCTCCTGCCTTGCCTACCCCATGGTCAATGGGAGCTGCAGGAGTGATGCCTGAGGGCAGCACATACAGAGATCCCCTACCTCCCCACACCACCTAGGAGCTGCTGCCAGGTAAGCACCCCTCCTAGAGAGTGCACCTCCTGCCCCTAAACCTGTTCTTAGAGCCTGCAACTCCACCATTCCTGCCCCTAAACTCACTCTTAGAGCCTACACCCCTCACCATCTCCTGCACCTCACCTGCCCCAGCCCAGAGCCCACACAGATTCCAGCCCAGAAGCTACACTCCAGACCCTTTCCCACACCCACATTCCTGCCCAGAGCCTGACCCCTCGCTCCTGTACCCCAGTCTTCTGCCCCAGCCTAGAACCTGCACCCAGCACCCAAACTCCCTCCCAGACCTTTCACCCTCCCACAGTCATCCCCACCAGTTCCTCACCCCTACTGCACCCAACTTCCCTCTCAGAAACTGCACCCTCTTCTGCACCCCAATACCACCCCAATACCACAGCTTGCACCCAACCCCCAAACTCCCCCCCCCCCCCCACAGCCTTCACTCCTCTCCCACCCACACCTCCTCCCAGAGACTTGGACAGGTCAGATAGATGACGTTTGGGTGGAGGTCAGGGGAAGGCTCAGGGTGTTTCTACAAGCATGCTGCCTCTATCAGTGGAACTGAGACTATGACTTTATTTCCTGCCTGCTCCCTGACAGCTAGCTCACTTCAACTTGATGCAGGCTCACATGGTCTGGAGCGAGGCCTCGGTGAGCACTCAGGGCAGCTGCTTCCTAATACAGAAAGATAAACTGCATTCACCAAAACCTAACACCACCACCCCACTTGCCGGAACACAAGATGGCTCACTAATCAATCATTTGCAACTGTAAAAAGCATCATCCTGTGCTGGTTAGGCCTCAGTTGGAGTACTGTGTCCAGTTCTGGGCACTGCATTTCAAGAAAGATGGGGAGACATTGGAGAGGGTCCAGAGAAGAGCAACGAGAATGATTAAAGGTCTAGAGAACATGACCTATGAGGGAAGGCTGAAGGAACTGGGTTTAGTTTAGAAAAGAGAAGAGTGAAGGGGGACATGCTAGCAGTTTTCAGATATCTAAAAGGGTGTCATAAGGAGGAGGGAGAAAACTTATTCATCTTGGCCTCTGGGGATAGAACAAGAAGCAATGGGCTTAAACTGCAGCAAGCGAGGTTTAGGTTGGATATTAAGAAAAAGTTCCTGTCAGGGTAGTTAAACACTGGAATAAATTGCCCAGGGAGGTTGTGGAATCTCCATCTCTGGAGATATTTAAGAGTAGGTTAGATAAATGTCTATCAGGGATGGTCTAGACAGTATTTGGTCCAGCCATGAGGGCAGGGGACTGGACTCGATGACCTCTCGAGGTCCCTTCCAGTCCTAGTATTCTATGATTCTAAGTGGTCTAAGTTTGTGAAGCCAGGATGGCTCTTTCCCAAGTTTTCTGAATGTATCAGGGACTGGAACTAAGGCCTGCTTCCAGGTGGCAGGGGCCTGTAGAATTTTTAAAGTTCAGCTTTGCGAAGGAAAAAACACATTGAAAATAAAAGTCAAGGAAATTCCCAATTGGCTCACAACCGTGGAAACTCACACTTTGGCTTGACATGCAAGTGACCTCAGAAACAACACTGGCTTTTGATAGTCTGGGAAGGAGTCTCAGCTCTTCTTTTTATTCAGACTTCTACTCAGATACAGACGGAGAGAAAGGAAGTCACAGGGGGATACAAAGGGATTTGGGTAGATGGGAGTAAGTTTAATGCACAGTGAGGGTAAAACTAGAAGGTGAGAACTCGGGCTTGATTCTTGAGAAAGCTAGTGTCATTCATTCACAGCATTATTATAAACCAGATGCTACGGCCAGTGTCACCCTTGGTGTAAGTTGGTGCAGTTACCATTGGGAATTGTGGCTGCTTAGTTCCTAATGTTTAGGTCAAATTCCTTTGTGAAAGGGAAACTGAAGCTACAAAGCTGATATTTTATCACACGTAACAATGCATAACCAAATTTACCCCGGGCTATGTCTACATTGCGCTTTCTTTGTGCAAAAACATATGCAAATGAGCCGCCATTTTTGTGCAAGGGGCTTTTGCAGAAGAAGGAGCAGTCTACACTGCTCCTTCTTGGCAAAACCCCCCTCTTGCTCAAGAGGCATTCTGCCGCTTATTTTCAGGCAGAACGGCTCTTGCTCAAGAGGAGTGGGGGCTTGCGCAAGGAGCAGTGTAGACTGCTCCTTCTTGCGCAAAAGCCCTTTGTGCAAAATGGCAGCTCATTAAGTATGCAAATGAGGCACGGTTATATTCATTGCCGTGCCTCATTTGCATATGTTCTTGCACAAGAAAGCACACTGTAGACATAGCCCTGGTGTAAAGGGCTCTAACGCCATGTGACTCAATGGAGTTGCGTCTGCTGAGGCTAATGAACCGTCCACCCTGGGTCTATGTCTAAACTGCAGGCTTCTTTTGGAAGAAACTTTTCCATAAGAGATCTTCCAAAAAAATCTGCTTCCGAAAGAGACCATCCACACTGCAAAAGCACATCGAAAAAGTGATCTGCTTTTTCGACACAGAGTCCACACTGAATGGACACTATCTTGCATGTAAGCTGTGATTACTATGGACGGAGTGGCCACTAGGGCACCTGTGCTTTTTCCTCCTCTTCTTAAAGAACTCCCTTTTCCCTGTCCATATGTGCCTTTTTCCAAAAGAGTTCTTTCGAAAAAGGCTTCTTCCTCGTAGAAAGACGTTTACCAATATCGGAAAAACCCCTCTGGTCTTTTGATTTTTTTCCCAAAAGAACAGGATTGCATTGTGGAAATGAGGGTTTTTTTGAAAAACGTCCGTTTTTCTGAAAGAACTCTGTAGTGTAGACATACCCTAGAGCTATGTCTACAGTGGCAGTTTCTTGCGCAAGAACGGACGTTCTTCCGTAGAGCATCCACACTGCCCGCCGACTCTTGTGCAAGAAGATTTACAGTGAAGCGTGGGAAGAGAGGGCTTCTTCTGCAAGAGCTACGCTCTTGTCTAACAAGTGTAAGTGCTCTTGCACAAGAGGGCAGTGGGGATGCGCGGCAGGGGTTTCTTGCACAAGAAAGCCCTATGGCTAAAATGGCCATCAGAGCTTTCTTGCGCAAGAGAGCAACCCCACTGCCATGGACGTTCTTACGCAAAAGCACATGGCAGTGTAGACGTGTTCTTGCGCAAGAGTTCTTGCATAAGAACCCTTGCACAAGATGTTCTTGCGCAAGAACCTGCCAGTGTAGACATAGCCTAGACATGCAAAGCTGCTACCTCTTCCTAATCTGATCCAAATTAGTAGATTCCCTCTCAGTCCTCATTGGTCAGATAGATGTTCTTAGCCATTGCCGAGCCAGCCCTGCCCAACAGCATAAGGTTAGGGAAGTGTCACTCAGAGACAGCAAAAGAGAAACACAGGAAACAATTTTTGCCTTTCTCCCATATTAAAGAACAATAACTTCTCTACCATAGACTGAAGAACTATTACTGAAAGACCTTGCTGGATGCAAAGATCCTGTCTTCTCTACGCTGCAGATTAAATATGAGCCCAGCAGTTTAGAGCAGCCTCCTTCTGCCTCTAACAATTAAAGATTAGTCAAAGCAGTGAGGCTTGTGTCAAAATCTAAACCCCAAAGAGTTTGGGTCTGTGATTCTGCTGCCAGCTCATCTCTAACCATTGATTCTACATCATCGACCTAATTATGCATTAAATACCCTTTTGTTGCTTCCCACTGGCAATCAACTGAGCCCTAGCTCAGACTTGCACTCCCTACCCAAATGTGCATCTCCCCACTAGCATAAGCTCCTCCTATCTGCAGTCAGGCTCCTGAGAAAAAGGAGGATCTGACCCTTGTTTATTTCGGCAGGTTATTTGCAGGGCCTCCACTAACGACCTCTCCCTGGTCCCCTGTATCCACCTGACCTTTGGTGGAAAGAGGAAAGGAAGGGTGCATAAAGGTCTGGCTTAGTAGTCCTCTGCTGGGGTATATGCATTGTCCTTTTATCAGTGAGTAATTCTATTTACTGAGCTCTATGAATGGGTGAAGGTGTGCAGTGAACCCTCGGGAACACAAACAGGGCAGCACTAAGTGAGCTCAAAGGTTGTTGTTTTGGCTGTCTTCTTCCGTGTCTTTGGTTTGTGCCAGAGTTAGAGTCTCTTGGATTTCATTGTGGTGTTTCCTCATCCTTTAAAAAAAAAAAAAAAAAAGTCAAAACCCAAGGGAGAAAGCCAGCATGAGGCAGCAGCCTATGACTCTTACACAGGAAGTTGGTGGTGAATTGTACCAGTCAATTCTTAACTGGAGTGGAGCCTGCCTCCCAGTTCAATTGACTGAGCTCTATGAATGGGTGAAAGCGTGTAGTGAACCCTTGGGAACACAAACAGGGCAACACAAGGTTGATTTCAACTGATTTCTCCTCTAATGAGTGCTACAGCATTTTGGGTAGAGCATTTCTGCTACCACAGTGCAACAGAGCACACTCATATCAGCAACCTTCCTCGCCCCCCCCCCCCATTTTCTAAGTAAACCTACCATGTTTTCTTCCGCTTCCTGGGTGGACCAAGTATGGTCATTTCATAGTGCTCTTTTCATCCCTTCAGAGGGGTCATAAACGTTGGGCTTATTCCTGCAACCCCTGCTCACATGAGCAATACTTCCTTACAGGAGCAGAATTGGATTTCCCTGGGTTCTGCTTGTATGACCAAGTGTCACAGCGCCCTTACAATGATATGAATTTCCATGGACTATCGTAGGGCTGGTATATTCATTTCATCTAACGTTCAGTGCATTTGTATGGAATTTATTCCAACTTCACTTCTCGTTCATTTAAGAAACACTAGGCTCTAGATTTAGCTCTGTAGCAGATGACGAGGGTTATTCGTAATAGCAGAGATTTGGTTAGATGTGGTACAACTGGTTGTGCTGTGCTCTTGTGGCTAATGAATTGAACTGGGAGGCAGGCTCCACTCCAGTGTTTATGAAGCTAGAGCACACTCCTGAGTATTTGGTTATCTCCTCCTTAGCTTTGTCTCCTATTTGGAGAGATTTATATGATTCAACATGCATGAATGAAGAATGAAATCTACTTAAAACATCAGGGAACATCCCATGCAATCTCTGACAACAGTCTATCCAAATTCATTAGGAATTTAGGTAGCTATGGATTCCAGTTTTCAGTACTTTGGGCCTTACCCTTTAACTCATTAGTAAACATGCCACCTCCATTCCCCTTCAGAACCTCTCCACTGTTATTTCAACAGTTTTTTGAAAAACAGACTAGAACCCAATAGAGGTTTGGGCCGATGAAGAGCGAGTTCTGTCAAAGGTCTTACTAAGACTCTGAAAAGCCTGCCAGAGCGGGCCACTTCTCCTAAGTCACTACTTACTTTTCTCTGTTGAAAACAATGAAGTCCCTTTGGAGAGACTCCAGGTGCTTCTGAAGATGGCAGCCCTTCAGTGTTGAGATAAGAAAAAAAGAGACAGAGGAGGGGCCAGTTAGATTTCACAACTGATACAGGACTATGTCTGAAGTGTTCTGATCCATTAGGCATAGGCATCTGCCTCTACAGGTAGAAGAATGGCAATCAGTAGTGCTTATTCCTTCACAGAAGGGCTCCAGTGCGGATTCAGAGGTGAGCTCAGTTTATCGCATCTATATAAAGCATGAGATGTGCCCCCAGAAATCTTAGCGCCACACACAAAGGAGGGCAGCACTGTTGTGGACGCAGGGTATTATAAACACTTGAGACTTACTATGTAGCTGGCTCCCCTCACTCATGCTAGGCAAACATAAAAGAAGTCAGAAAAACTTAAAAAACAACCAATGGTCTTGCAGCACCTTAAATAACAAAACATGTAGATGGTATCATGAGCTTTCGTGGACACAACCCACAAAAGCTCATGATCCCATCTACATATTTTGTTAGTCTTTAAGGTGATGCTAGACTATTGGTTGTTTTTTAAGTTTTTCCAGTTACAGACTAACTCGGTTACTCCTCTGAAGCTTCTGAGCACCTGTAATAAAACATGTACATAGTACCATGAGCTTTCGTGGGCACAATCCACTTCTGGAAAAACTTTAAAAAAAAAAACATAGTCTTGCACTGACGTGGATTGTGTCCACGAAAGCTCATGATACCATCTACATGTTTTGTTAGTTTTTAAGGTGCTGCAAGACGAGGGGCGGCCCGTCCATATAGGCGAACTAGGTGGTTGCGTAGGGCACCAAGTTAAATGGGGCGCCAAATGGTGGCGCAATATCATTAAGGGGTTTGGAGGTGGGGACGCCGATTGCATGGTTCGCCTAGGGACTCAGTTGCTGGCAGCTAGGGCCACCCTAGCTAGGGCCGCCCCTGTGCAAGACTATTTGTGTTTTAAGTTTTTCCAGTCACAGACAAACTCAGCTACCCCTCTGAAGATTATAAAAGAAGTTAAGTGTAAATTGTTTGAGTTAATGCTGTGATGAACCCAATGTGCTGTTCATCCACTGCAGAAATACCTCCCATGCACTTTTAGGGAAGGGAAATAGAGTGCATGATTGAACCATACAAGCAAAACTACACAACTGCTTGCAGCAGGAAGCTGGAATCATTATTTTAACAGTTGATTGTACAGGAGGCGTCTGAAGTTGTCAAAAAGTTAAATCCAATCCCCAAACTAGAATTTCCCCTAGGCGGATGGGTTGATACTCCTTAATATGCCCAACGTGCCATTGGGATCTTTCACAAGGATAAGGACTGAGGCCTCCGTTTTACCTGTCATCTGAAACACTGTGCAGAGGGGGAGTGAGCTGAAAACACACAGGCCGTGTCCACACTCAGGGGTTCTTTCGAAAAAAGTACCCTTTTTTCGAAAGAACTTCCCCTGCGTCCAGACTCAAGCCGCGTTCTTTCGAAATTAAATCGAAAGAACGCGGCTTTTCTTTCGACGGCGGTAAACCTCGTTTCACGAGGAAGAACGCCTTTTTCGAGGGAGATCCGTCGAAAGAACGTGAGTCTGGACGGGGGGAGCCCTTTCTTTCGAAATTTCGAAATTAAATCGAAAGAACGCGGCTTTTCTTTCGACGGCGGTAAACCTCGTTTCACGAGGAAGAACGCCTTTTTCGAGGGAGATCCATCGAAAGAACGTGAGTCTGGACGGGGGGAGCCCTTTCTTTCGAAATTATTGGCTTCCAGGAGCAAGCCCTGGTGGACAATCTGGGCCATGGGTTGCACGTCTGTGGTTCCTGGCTGCAGCCATTCCTTAAAGGGACAGGC